CCTCCCCTACGTGTGCACCGGCTACGACCTGTACATCACCCGCGAGCCCTGCGCCATGTGCGCCATGGCCCTGGTGCACTCCCGCGTGCGACGTGTCTTCTATGGGGCGCCCTCGCCCGACGGCGCGCTGGGCACCCGCTTCCGCATGCACGCCCGGTCAGACCTCAACCACCGCTTCCAGGCCTTCCGCGGGGTGCTGGAGGCCCAGTGCCGCCAGCTGGACCCTGACCCGTAGGCGCCTGGCCCTGAAGTTCCTCTGCTCCCTGCTGGCCCAGGCATCCCACATGGTCACGAGGGGACTGCCGTCCCTTCTCGATTTTAGAGACACGCGTGTCTCCTGGCCCCGGAGCCCCCACCACACTGTTCTGCCAGCGCATGGGGGCGTCCCTGCCTGGATGGGCTCCCCCGCCACTGGCCCAAGTGCAGCGGGGGTTCAGCCGGCGAAGCCCCGGGTCCTCGGGACTGTGTCCCCTTTTGTCAGGTGTCAGAAGACAGTTCTGATGTGTGACAATAAACAACTTAAAACCAGGTTGGTGTCTGTTGACAGAGGTATGAGGCTGTGGTGGCCACTGGTCCCTGGATCCGGGGGGTGACCGCTTTCCTGATGCCTGGGTTTGTACTGGGGAGACGAGCGTCTGAGCCGAGTGTGGGCAGAGCTGGGCCCCCCAGGTCTGGAAGCGTGAGGCTGGACTCCAGGGAAGAGCCCCGCCAACCTGGACATCAATTTCCTGACTGTCCAAGGAGGCCAGTGGACCCCTAGAAGGGTGGGTGGGGGTCTGCTCCACAGTGGCCCTCTTGTCCATCCAGCAAACTCACGTTGACTGAGCACATGGTGGGTGGCTTAGGGCCCTGAGACATCTCTGCCCTGAGCCCACCCTCGAGCCCCTAGCCCTTCCCAGCCCATGGGGGCAGGGCAGGTGGAGGGTCTCAGCCAGAGCCAGTGTGGTGGGCGCGCTGGATGGACGGTCGGGCAGGGCAGTGAGCCCGCTGGGCCTGCAGACAGGACAGGGCCGGGCGGGGCTGCAGGTCCCAGTGGGGCTGGAGAGTGGACCGAGGGAACTCTCGATCACTGGAACCTTCTCACCTGAATTGCCTCCCCCACTTGCTCCAGGGCCAGGTGCTGGGGACAGCTGAGGCCCAGCTGTGCCAGGAGGGCCAGGCAGGTTTCCCAAACAGGGTACCGCCCACCCACAGGGCCCTTGTGGAACCGCTGAATCCCCCACAGTGATGTGCCTTGCTGGTGCCTCCTGTGAGGGGCTGCTCTGTGAAACAGGCTCCTGGGCTCCCTCTGGGCAGGACTGCTGGGAGTCAAGCCCATCTGCAAGTGTTGCACTTGGGTTGCAGTGGGGTCCTTGGCCCTGCAAAGCTCCAGGGGCAAAAACTGCAGACCAGAGAGGTTGTGTGACTTGCCTGAGGTCACACAGCAAGGAGCATGAACTCAGTTCTTGGTGAATCAGATCCCCTGGGGCCGTAGGAGGCACGCAGAGCCGTCTGTAGGTAATGGGGAAGTTTGGGAGGGTAAGGAGGCGGGAGGGCAGCGGGGGTGAGTGTCTGGGATCCCAGGAACATCGGGCTCTGGCCCGATGCCTCCCCTCAAGTCAGTGCAAAAGCTGCCTGGGGCCTCTGAGGTGAAGAGGTGGCGGGTCACACACTTGGGGCTGGCCTTTGGGCCAAGAGCCCAGACACCCCTGTGGACAGTCTGGAGGTTAGGGCTGTCCTTGCGGCGGCCGCCTGGGCCTGCAGCTGGCGTCGGGGTCCCCTAGCAGTGATGAGGACTCCCTAACTATGGCTGTCTCCTCCCCAGGTGGCTGCAGGCTTCCGCCCCGCCCCGTCTTCACAGCGGAAATGTCAGGTGAGTCTTGCCCGCTGGCCCCATGGTGAAGATTCCAGCGTCTCTGTCCCTCTGGGAAGTGCCCCAGGTGGCTGGACTCACGTTGACCCCTGAGGGCGTAGCCTCTGTCCTCCCACGCGGGGTTGATGGGGTTGCTCCTGGCACTGAGCCGGACGATGGGGAGACAGCCCTCATGGTGAGCGGCCAGCTTGGGCGTCTGGCAGCAGAGGTGACAGGGTGCCACCTGGTCGCTCTTATGTGGGCAGAGGTGAGCGGCTCCAGGCTGTGCCCACATATCCGTGCTGTGATTGGAACCATGTCCCCTACGAGGTCCACCTGGGTGCCCGCTGCGGCTGCCTTCAAACAGCCACACGCAAGTCCTGACCCCAGGACCCGGGAAGCGGACTTTGTCAGCAGTGTAATTGTAAGACGAGTTGCACTGGAGTAGGGGTCCCTGCTGTAGAGTGACAGACGTCCTAAGAAGGGGGAGATTTGGACACAGACGCGATGAAGCTGTGGAAGGTGGAGGCAGAGACCTGAGTGATGCTGCCACGTGCGCAGGATGCCCGGGGCCCCAGGAGCCAGAGGAGGCAGGAGGGGCCCTCGCCCGGAGCCTCCAGAGGGAGCGCGGCCCTGCTCACCTGCATCTGGGTTGCCTGGCTTTCAGGATGGGGATGGGACGCATTTCTGTTGTGCTAAGCTGCCCCTGCCAGAAGCTCATATTCCAAGGGCTAGACCCTTCCTGGGAGCCCCAGGTGTGAACAGCGTTTGGGCTCTGCCATCGAGTCTGTGTACTCCTGGAACTGCTCTAAGAAATCGTCACAAACACAGTGATGGAAGCAGAATTTGTTCTCTGACCGTCCTGGAGGTCAGGGGTCCTACTCAGGCCTCATGGAGCTCAATCCAGGCGTGGGCAGGGCTGGTCCCTCCGGAGGCTCCAGGGAGAAGCGGCTCCTGCCTCTTCCAGCTTCTAGAGGCGCCGCACCCCTGGCTCGCGGCCCCTCCGTGTATCCTCACCGCCAGCAGCGCAGCATCCGCCGTCTCTTTGACTCTGACCTCCAGCCTCTCTCTGATGAGGACCTTGTAAGGACACGGTTCTCCTGGGAATCCAGGGTCACCCCCATCCCAGGGGCCTTAACTTAATCCTGCCTGCAGAGTCCCCTCTGCCCCGTGAGGTGACGCGTCCTGGGGCCGTCACAAGCTGGCTGCAGCCCGGGCTTAGCTCAAGGCCGTGTGTCCTGCAGGCAAGGAGAACAACTTCCCCCCGCTGCCCAAGTTCATCCCCCTGAAGCCCTGCTTCTACCAGAACTTCTCTGACGAGATCCCCATCGAGCACCAGGTCCTGGTGAAGAGGATCTACCGGCTGTGGCTGTGTGAGTGTGAGGAGGGGGTTCCCTGGCACCACTCGGAGACCCCAGCTTGGGAGTTGCCCTGGCCCAGGTGGTGAGAGCCTGAGGCTTTTGTAGTAAGCTCCCTTCTGGCTGGGGCCTGGTGTGGATGGAGTGGGCAGGGTGGCTGGATGCCCCAGCCCGGCTCAGGGCCCCTCCCTGCCCCCCCAGTCTACTGTGCCACCCTGGGTGTCAACCTTGTCGCCTGCCTCGCCTGGTGGATCGCCGGTGGCTCCGGCGCCAACTTCGGCCTGGCCCTGATCTGGCTGCTGCTCTTCTCCCCCTGTGGCTACGTGTGCTGGTTCCGGCCCGCCTACAAGGCCTTCCGGTAAGTCGGGGCTCCGTGGCCTGCACCCTAGAGGGGCTCTCGGGGTGTCCAGTATAGGGGAGGGAACAGGACATCTCCCCTTGGGCATGCTTACCTCCACCCAAACCCCGTGGAGGACCACGCCCCCATGCCCCAGTCTGCACCTGTCGCCCAGGCCCAAGTGTCAGCATAGTCCCACCTCTGGTCCATCTTGGACAGCATTTTGCATCAGGCTCTGTAGACGGCGGCCCACAGGCCACATCCAGCTGTTGCCTGTGTTTGCTTTTAATGAGTTACACTGAGGTGTACTTCACCTATCGCTCAACTCACCTCAACAATGCAATGTTTCTACTGTCTTCACGAGGTTGGACAACCATCATCTCTAATCCAGAACATTCCATCACTCCAAAAGAAGCCCTGTCCCCACCAGCAGTCACCCCCCCAGCCCCCTCCCCAGCCCTGACAGCCAGGAGCCCCCTCCCTGTGTCTGCGGACTGGCCTGTTCCGGACGTCTCGCATCCATGGACTCACACACTGTGTGTCCTCCTGTGTCTGCTTCTCTCCCTGAGCACCGTGCTCTCAGGGTCCGTCCACGTGGGAGCGGGTGTCAGGGCTTCTCTCCTGTGCGTGGCCGAGTGACGTTCCCATGTATGGAGGGACCACGTTTCTTTATCCATCATCCGTTGATGGACACTTGAGTTGTTGCCATCTTTTGGCTGCTGTGAATCTTTCTCTGTGAACACTCCCCCCACCACCCCGCCCAGTGTGTGCTGTTTGCCCCCTGGGTGGTCCCCGATCCCAGACTCTCAGACTGAGTCAGGGCCCTGATGGTCTCCTGGAGACAAGAACCAGAAACCCACTCACATGTGCTGAAGCCGACGTCCCAGGCTGGCTTGGGCGACTGCATGCAGGGACGGACCCCACAGGCTCCTGCCCCTCGCCTACCCCCAGCTGTGGGTCCCCCCAGCCCCTGCCCCCACTCCATGGACTGGGAGGGGCCTGAGCCACGGCCCCTGCAGCCTTCCCTCGTCTAGGGCCGGGACAGGAGTCCAGCGTGGAGAGTGTCTCGAATCTACCATTAACCTCCCAGGTTAACATCTGCTGATCGCGTGCCCTGCCGGTGCGGTCATATCCTCGGTGTAGGAAGGTGTCTGGAATTCCGCCCCAGTGGGGACGTGTTAGGTGTGGCGTTCCCTCTGAGCCGAGTGGGCCCCTCACGGTCCGGCTCCGCAGCCTGTGCCAGGCCCCCCTCCTCGGGCCCCCTATCCTTGAGCCCCTCCACCTTGCCCCCCATTTCAGGTCCCCTCTCCTCAGGCTGTGGTAATGCTGCTTTCCTTCCCTTTAGGTCTGACAGCTCCTTCAACTTCATGGCGTTTTTCTTCATCTTTGGAGCCCAATTTGTCCTGACCATCATCCAGGCCATTGGCCTCTCGGGTTGGGGCGCGTGGTAAGCAGGGCCCCTGAGAGCCCAGGACTAGCGTCACCTGTGATGCGTGTCGCGTGTGTGAACACAAGTCACACACAGGTGCCGTTAGTGTGGGCCGAGGGCTGCAAGGAGGACCCGTAAGGCCAGCGGCTGGAGGTGGGCCGACGTTTGCACCTGTCAGCCCTCCAGGGAGGTGCTAGGTAGGGGCATCTGGTCTGCAGTCACCGGGGGCCTGAGTGCAGAGGTTCCGCTGGCCTTCTGCCAGCTGGTTCGTGGTCACCCGACCACAGGGGATGTGGGGCGTGGTCAGTGTGTGTCCCAGGGGAGCGGTCAGAGAGCAGTTGAGGGCCTGCGGCCCTCCCGCCCTGTCAAGGGTAAGAGCTGTCACCTGTGTGTTTTCCTTTGGGGTCACATATGAGCTTTCTGTGGCCACTGTGACAAATTACTCCTAATTCAGTGGCTTGAACTGAAACAGACTTCTCATCTCAGTCCTGGAGGTCAGAGCGCCCGGGGCTAAAACCCAGGCGTGGCCAAGGCTGGTCCCTCCGGAGGCTCCAGGGAGAAGCAGCTCCTGCC